GTCCGGAATATGAGTCGAAGCGAAATTTTAGGTGAGACTCGGTTTAGAAAATAATTTTAGGTTGTCTTTGTTCTTTTTGAGTTTAATGCTTATCACAAATAAAATCTATTCTTAGTTAACTATTTTGAGCCTATACACTTTTATTTGGCACCCACATTATAAGCTTATACCCTTTTTATTCTTCATTGACATTGTTTTGATCCTTTTACCTCTTAAGGCACTTTAATTATAAAATGAGCGCTAAAAGAAATAAGGAGGGAATTTAGGTGGCTTTCGAGTGGAAGCAATGAATGGAAGAAAGATGCACTTGTTTTGTAAAAGAATACACCACTAGCGAAAATTGTAAAGAAAAAAAATCTGAAAAAAAAGAGAAGGAAAATATAGATGAATAAATTAACATCTTGTTCTTGCTAGTGGGGTATGAATTAAAGTAGTACTTAAAGAAAAATGGATAGTCTTTTGGGTGATGTTAGTTGTGAAATTGAAGTTGGGATTGAAGAATATGCGCTTAAAGTTAATTATGTGTTGTGTTAAAGTGCTTAGGAGAGTTAGCCACTATTCCTAAATATATCATACCCATCTCTTAGCCCACATTACAACCATGAAAAAGTCCTAATTGATTTTAGATCGAACGAGCCTACATTAGTAGGGATTTACATTAAGGGCAAGCCTGTGGTACCAATTGCATGTATGTGACTCCTTTTGTAAGAATGAGCGATTTTCTTTGATATATATGAGTCCTTAAAATATATTTGAGCATTTGATTTGAATGTGTGGATTCAACTTACTCTTTTGTTCTTGTTGTGAGGGAACATGATTTCACGACGGATATGTAACATTATTAGACTTCTCTAGGATGTTAGTTGTTCAAGCCATAAGTGCATTGTAATATTGAGTCGGTTTTAGAGGCTGGGATTGTTATAAGCATGACGTCTTTGTTGTGAATATTTTTAAAGAATGGAAAAAGTTAAAGGGGGGTGTAAGTGATTGCATATGCTACAGTTTAATTGTTACTATCAGCCGTGGTCATTGGTGTAGTTTGCTTCAAATGTATAAATATAAAGTGCTCAAGAATAATGTTAATTGTTGGTTGCTCGAGGACGAGCAAGAGCTTAAGTGTGGGGTGGTGTTGTTTGGCTAAAAATCCATGCTTTTGTATGTAATTTGCCTTGCATTATACTTCGATCTAGTTAATTTTTGTATGAATATTTGTGACTCGAGCTTAATAATGTTGTTTATATGTGTATGAGTAAATTGAAAGTGATTTGGGGAGTTTGCATGCAAATTGATGTCAAAAAGGGAAGAATTTGAAGGAAGTATAAGTTTGGTGCCCGGGTTGGTGCCAGGCACCAACCAAAACGCCATTGACAGAAGTGAAAAAAGTTAGTTGTCCAGGTTGGCGCCAAGCGAGACGCCAAAGGGCGGATTTTGTCCTAATTCGGCTGGGACTTAGGTATTTCAACCCTACACGTCCCCAACATGTATAAAAGGGATTCTAAACCTATATTTGAGGAGGATCGAACATATTTTGGACCAAGGGAGAGCACGGAGCCGCCGTGGAGGCCGGAATTCATCAGATTTCATCTTTCTTCCATCAAACTTAGTAATCTTTATGTTTCTTTGGATGAATTGTTATTTTGCTACCATGTCTATGTGGAGCTAAATTTCACGTTCTAGGGTTGTGGTTGACATGAATATTGAAGTTTGTTAATTACATTACCGTTAACTCGAGTTATCGTTGTTGGTTGTTTCTCTAATTATGTGCATAATTGCTTAATTGTTTGGCCAGCAGTTGAGTTCTATTTACTATCTATGCTATGCTTGGGAAAGCCGTGTTTAGATTAGAGTAGAATTAGAGAGAGCTTGTTTCTGAACCCGTGGCTCGGGAAATAATTTCGCGGTTAGGATAGGAATATACCTAACAGTCTTGCTTAGTTGAATACCGTATTATATTCGTTCATGATAGATTCAATACCATAGGAATATATGGTTGATATATTATGGATAGACGGATAGTATTGTGGGAAAATGATATTTATATAAATGATTTGTATAACTAGAAACCATAGATAATTCGGATTAGCAGGTGTAATTACGAACTCAATATGATTGATAAACCGACCACAATCCTGGAATCTATATCTCCCTTGGTCACGTGTTTAAATTTCGCAATAGTAGTTGTAATAGGAAAACCAAACTTTTGATTATCTTGGACAGTTAATTGATTTCAGTTTGCTTAGTTAACAATTAATCTAAGTCTCTATGGGTTCGACATCCGACTTTCGAGTCACTTTATTAATTGACGGCCACGTATACTTGCGTGTACTTGGGGAAACAATATTATTGATTAATGTGTATCAATAAATTTACTTGTAATTATCTAATAAATGACATGATTATAAAAAATATTTTTACACAGTACATGTTTTCTTGTATCTTCTCACTCAGCACTGACGGTACATTTTTCTTTTTTACTTGTTAACCTTACAGAGAATTTTAAATTAACGATAGGAACGTTGCTCAGTTAACAGATGATATTGTACTACTACTTGGCCTGCACAGCATTGAATGCAACTTTTGGCAATACTAAGGCGGCAATTAAATTATTGTCATGCAAAAATCTAACTTTTCGATCACTGACATGCACATGATTTTTACAATGAGACTGGATATTCAAAGAAATTAACATATAAATGAATAAATTACAGTACCAAAATCATAATAAAACTACCATGTACTCAACTCAAAATCTCAAATACATTAATATACACTACAAGAAAAAACAATAACAAAGAATCCGTCACAATTTATAAAAAAATTCAAGCGTAACTAAAATTTTGTGACCGAGAATAAAACCGTCATAACATTGTCACAAATTGATGCACTCTATTATGTTTTTCTTGTATTAATTAATAATTGTTTTTTACGAGTTTTTCGAAGTAAGATTCTCAAAAAAATATTTTACGTCAACACAAGTTAACTACATCCAATATTGTATATAATTACCTTCTTTATANTTACTAATTGGTGGAATACTGGACAATCCGAACGTTTTTGAATAATATTTAAGAAAAGAGTCTTCTACAAAAATTCATAGAATTAGAGGAACTCCTCTTCTTGGACGAAATGATCAAGGAATACCGGAAACACATCTCGAAGAGTTTGGGATAGGAATACATAAAGAAACGATCCAATTAATCAAGATACAAAATAAATCCAAGAATCATTCATGCATCTTGGGTTAATGGCTTCGATTTTCAAAAATTTAAATTTTGGATTTTGCGACTGAAAATCCACATTTGATTTTTCAATAGAAAGGTAAGAGGAAGCTTTGAACATTACGAATTTGGAGATAGACTCAATCAAAATTGAAAGGATGAATCAAACCCAATCAAAAGGGAAGAAGGATTAGGATTTCATTGACTTTTAGAAAAAATTAAGAAAAACAGAACTCAAGGTGCAAGTACAGTAAAAAAGCAGCTCAGTAATGCGGGAAAGTTTTCATCTATTTTGTATTTGTAGCATTTTGGCGATATGGCCGAGTGGTAAGCCAGAGGACTGCAAATCCTTTTTTCCCGGTACAATATATATAGACACACACCCATGACACCACTTGCCTCAAGGTGCATCTTAAACAATTTCTGCCCATTGTAAAGTATCCCTAATACTATATGTATTAATGTTTTGGTTATTAATATATACGAGGTAGGATTAAGCCCAACCCCGATCCTAGAAGTGGCTTTTGATTGAAAAAAAGATCTCTCTGCCGAAGGTGTGTGTGTGAATTGTGATAGAAGCTTAGGTACATCTTGCGCCTATGGTTCGCTATAACTATATATCCAAGAAGACAGTCAAAATTAGAAGAATAAACAATTAGCGTAACCCACTTGGTGAACTGTCGAGCTACAAGTTCTCTACACTTTGATTCACAATAAGAAGAAATTCTTTTTTTCTTCAATTGAATATGAATTTTCTTTTTTGCTAATAATATGAATATGAACTACAACAAGGAAAATCAATCATTAGAAAGACATAAAAACATTGGATTAATTTCTTTTGTGCCTAAAGGCATATATCTAGAATTTTCCTTTTATCAATCAAACACCTTCCAAAGCTATAATAGCTTCTTAGTTTTAAAAAGTTTTCTTGTTGGATCTCACCAAAACTCTCTCTAGTACAGTATAAATCTGACTTTAGTTAGCTAACTTCAGGAAATCAAAGTTAATTATCCGAGCATTATGAGGGAAGTATCGTAGATATAAATTTGTTACACATTACCAATTATAAGGATATGATTAATCTTAGACTAAGCTTCATCCGCTTCCTACTTATTATGAACTCGAATCATTACATGGCTGATAAAGTAAGCTAAGCTTCACACGACCCAGACGAAATCTCCTTTCTGATTAAAACCTAGCTACACGCGTATGAAATTAAATTCAAGACTCACAATTTGATGAATACCTATATAAATTGTATTTTTGTCATCGATCGACTTCGGTAACGGGTTTGGCCGAATCCAGTAGCTTTAATCCAAACCCTACATTTGTCTTATAAAATCTATTGAATAGGTACAAATTCTTACTTTAAAACCCAGTAATATAAAAGGGTTAAAATCCCGAACCCAATAACTTTAAATTCTGGTTCCGTCTCTGTCGATCGACTACTATTTGTATGTCTAATTTGAACCAAACACAAGGGAAAACCCTAAATAAGGAAGAGAAATAAGAAAATATTAGCAAAAAAGAAAGAGTTGGTAGATGATTGAGGGCACATGAGAATGCTATGTGTGGTTGACATAGCCTTTGTCCAAACTTCATAAGGTTACGTTGTTATTATTGATAAAAATATTTTCCAATTAATTTTGACTTTAGGAATTATTATTAATTGAGGGATGAATCATGAAACTTTTGAAGATAGGGTTCTGTCATTTGGTCGTGTGGTAGCATACTGCTCCTCTCCTTTTTGTTTGTCTCTTTTAACTTTGTTTGTTTGGTTGTCCTCAAGTCACGTGAATGCCCCTTTCTTTTCTCTTTAAAATAGTTTTACAACATTCTTCCATTACATTTTCTTTGATCATTTCACAAGAAGAAAATCTTCTTTCCTTTTCCTTTCTTCTTTTATTTTCCTCTTGCTTCCCATGATTCCCACTTACAGAAATTCTTCTCCTTCTTCTCCTTCATTTCCTTTTGAACTTAATAATAATGAGGTTCATGATCTAAGTCATATTAATCCTCTTGTTAGCCCTAGCTATCAAGTTGCTTCGTCATCTTCTTACTCGTCTTGCCAAACTTTCTTCAATAATTCAACTACTAATCAAGATCAAATGGGATATTATCGTTCTCAATTTTACCAGCCACAATACCAACCCGAGGTATACAAGATTAGGGTTCTTTGTTTTCGTATTGGATCGCGTTTCTTTTCCTAATTTGCTTAAGTTTGGAGGTTTTAACAATCACTTGGATCACATTCTTTTTTTTGAAGAAATAATTAACTAAAAGTATGGTATGATCTCTAATAACTTAAGCTTTTAGACTAGATAATCACATATTTCAACACTATTATTTTGAACTACTACCAGACACACCACCAACCCGAGGTACATATAAGAAAAGGGTTTCTTTTTAATATTGGATTGTGTTTCTCTTTCTATTTTCTTTTTCGCTCTCTGGGTTGTATATTTTTCACTATCACTTGGATCATGTTAAAAATATGCAAATTAAGTGGTCTTTGCTTTTTTGTCTTTAATTGTTCCTGTTGATCATATAGGTTGATAATTTTGCTTCAAGAAGTGGATCACATGATCATCTAGAGAAGAAAAACAAGGGACCCAAATTAACCTTGTGGAAAAAAGGAGATAAGTTGATGCAAAAGATGAAGAATTCAGATCACGCACATATCAAATTGAAGTTAGAAGATCAGAAGAAGCAGCAATCATATCCTAATTTGGAAACTGATTACAGCAGCAACAGCTCTTCCAACAATAGTAATAACAACAATATTCCAATTAGGGTTTGTTCTGATTGTAACACTACTAAGACCCCTCTTTGGAGAAGTGGTCCTAAAGGCCCTAAGGTAATTATATTTTCTTACTAATTAACCAAATTGCACGAGACAAATGAAGTATATATTCCAATCTTTTCAGTTTTTTTTTTTAAAACTTTCCGTATAAATAATTTTTATATTATCAGTACATTTCAACTAGCTAAAGCAAGTGAAATTATAAATGGGATTACTATAGACGGTTACCTATGTTGTAGGTTATTTTATGGTCTAAAAACTGTATACAAAAATTAGATTCACTTAAAAAGATCCTATTTAAACTTAAGGATGTAATTATATGTACTGATAATATAAAGATTTTTATAGGGCAGAGATCATTTTTAGCCCGCGGCTGAAACTATTTACATACAGTTGCCGCAAAAGTGTATAAGTTAATATATTTTTTCTATATGACATACAAATATATATATATATATATATA